ACAATTTTGGTAAAGCACCTTAAGACCCTTCCATCTATGAAGAGTATTTGATTCTACCATATCTGGGTCTTGAGAAGAAGATTTTTGAAATTTCAGTCAATTCAACCCTTTTTTGCCCCACCCATCAGCCCCTGGGGGTCAGTCAGGGCTCATATGTGCATACTATCAAACTGCTACCTAATACTGATAATGCTAACCTAAATTGATTTACTTCCAATGGAAATTAAACAAATGTTGGTCCAAAATGTGATTTCCCTATATAAACTATAGTAAAGTTTACCCCCTCCCCAGGGGTAAACGTGAGACCCCAGGATCAAGAAATTCACAATTTTGGTAAAGCGCCTTAAGACCCTTCCATCTATGAAGAGTATTTGATTTTGGAGAAGAAGTCGAAAAAGTAAATTGTTTACGGACGCAGGTGACCTAAAAATGTCAGAATGCTAGAACTTGCCCTCTAACAATATTGTATGACATGTATAACATGTTATCTGGATAGGTTGTAGGCCAGTACGTACTGTGGAGCTGCTGGTGACTTGTGCCATACATCAGAGAGCCACCTGGTGACAGTTCCCCCAAAACACCTAGAGCAGCGGATCCTCGCAGCACCTGGATAGCAAAAAACATCACTCATCTCACTCTAGATTATCAGTTTACCATAACTCTTTTTTATATACCTGTACCTTTAGTGATTAACTTGGAGTTCTTGACTCATCTTTTATAGGTCTGATCATATCTGTCTAAATTACAGCACCTTGATATGTTAATGCATCAAACTCAATTAAATGGCAAAATTCTTGGTTTGAATTTACCAATTATATTCGTTTCAAAATATTTCTGTAACCAATATTATTTGAATTAAGATGACCTTTCAAATTAACAGATATACTTTGTGTTCCCAATTTATACTGGCATTATATTGACAATAATAGTCCTTTTCCCAGGAATAGGTGTCCTTCTAACAATTATCAAGCAATTCAATATGAATTAAACCTATAAATGATGTGTTATGATAACCTTAACACTTACATTAGAGAGTTCCGGAGCCCAGTCAGAGATTTTCTGTGACACAGAGTTTGATGCACTGACTGCATCATCACTCGTCATGTACTTAGATAACACCACTGGTCTTGGACCATGAAGGTATCCGTCCGTTTTATGTAGTCTTAAATTCACATTTTTAGAATGAGTTCTACCTTCCAAATCCTCATATGCCAGTTTTTCCCGAATCTTTGCTCGCTTGGCTGCAGGTTCTTTAAACATATCTGAGCTTGTACTACTGGTGTCCGTATCACCATTGGTTACTGTGGCCACGGCCCCATTGGACCTCTTGGGGCCATTGTCACTAGTGCCACTGGCCCCATCAGTGGCATCCTGAGGTTTTGTTGTTCTGTTACTTTCACACGCCTTCAGAACCATAGTAGAGTGATGATTGAATCGACGAATCATGGTCAAGTTGGTCTGATTCGTGCTGAGCTTACGTTCATCTGACGACCCGCCAAAGCCCTAGGGAATCATAAATACTTTAGTATACGGATATATGTAGTGATCATGAGTATTCTTAACTATACACTTTTGTTTATAGAAACTTTCGTGGCAAATTAACCTTCAAGTATATCTCGGAGTCAAATTTTAATACGTTATTTATTTCACTGTGTTCATTTTAATTTTTTACAAGTTTTTCACATTATATATTACCTTCCACACATTATGTCCGAAATATTTTGTCAAGATGAAACAAACCTATAATCAGTGTGAAATTGTGCATTTTGAAGAAATCAAGAGTTTCATTCCACGTTTTTAACTTGTAATTTAGTCCTTGCCCGATGGTGGCATACAATGTATAATGCTTCCTGTGTATATTGCATTCACTTGGTGTTAAGATAGACTACACTCAGCCTAAGTGCATCATACCAAATGTTTGTGCGAGTATGAATTCTTATTCTCATCATTTAGGAAGTATTTCAGGAAAGTTTGTGCAAAACCACCAGTAATTTTCAGAGGAAATGATCCTTGAAAGTTTTTCCCCATAGTTAGTCCCTTCCCAAGAGTATACATTTTTATCATCAACATCAAATAACTTCAACAACCGGCTGATGAATTTACTACCAAGTTTCATCACAATTTGACTAAAGATTTCTGACAAATAGTGAAAAAATATGATTGTTTATGGACGACTTATGATGCTCGATGAGAGGCCATCACCTGAGTGACTCAGGTTACCTAAACAAGAGGCCCAGGGGGCCTGTATCCCTCACCTAAAAACCAGGACAAACATCACAGTTCCTATTACTGTCATGATTTCATGTCAGCATTTTTATTGATGTCCAACTGTAAAAATAGTTATTCCGTACATTGCAACTTCATGTGATTTTATTACACTGTAGAGCAGTTTGAGAATTCTTTAAATGCATATTCATACTTACATCACCCGAATTTGAATCGGTCATTTTTAACATGTCCAGTAGAGGGTCATTTACTGTTCGTGTTACCTCATCTTTTATTTCTGAAATTTTTTAATCAAATAATGTTACAATTTTAATTTGACAGGTAAACTGAAAGTCAGGATCACTATTTTTAAAATATCTTCTGATGTCTTTCAAAAATGAGGAGTTCAAATTTTTTTTTTTCAGTTCCTGCAACACCAATACATTTCGATATCCTTTTTCTTTTAAAAAAAATACACGAAGTGCACACAACACATTAAACATTAAGGATTTGACATTTGTAGAAACAGTTGAGCTGTATCAGTGAGATTTTGTCTTACCCCTGTCATCATTCTTGGCACAGTCGGAGAACACATCCTTACTGCTAAGGACAGTTCGGTCTCTATGGAAATAGTGAGACTGAAAAAACCTTGTCCAGAATTCACTTTCTGTCATCTCATGCGGTACATTCTCGGCATGTTTCTTCCTCACTGTAACACAATGATGATAATAACCAATAAAGGTATGGTATCCTCTGTCTAATATTCATAATAAATGAAAGGGCCTTTACATGTACTTTACCTACACCATACTGCATTATGCTATACATATGGTGTAATCAGTCGTTATACAGTTCAACTGTACATATATACTATTTAATGTACAAGTACATGATTGGTTAATGTGTCAGAACATTTATATACCAGTACAAGGATATTTTTCAATCACTTGGGAGAATTGTCTTTTGCTTGGGGGCTGCTGTTTTTTTCAGATTGTATGTATCGGGCATGTGTATTGCGAGTTTTGGGGTGGTTTTTCATGCAAGTATGTTGCTTATTAGATTTTATTTATATTTTGGAATTCCTTGTGATTTATTATTGAGTCAAGATCTCCAAACACTATAAAGAAAAATATCTTTTTTCAAATTTGCAAAATTTGCAAATAAAAACCAGTCAAAACCTATATAGTAAAATCAAAGACAGCTAAAATGTTACCCATTGGATATGTCCTGAATATAGATTCTATAACATCAGCGGTGAGATTGTACTTGAGACCATTACAGCCATCCGTCTGGGGTTTGATGTCAGCCTGGCAAAGAAAATATTACATGATGTTGAATGAAATTTACACAAGAAACAAGTGTTTTTATTCAATTCAAAGGAAATAAGTCATAATAAAGTAAAACCTTGTCTAACGATTACTGACATAATAAAGTAAAACCCTGTCTAACGATTACTGACATAATAAAGTAAAACCTTGTCTAACGATTACCGACATAATAAAGTAAAACCTTGTCTAACAATTACTGACATAATAAAGTAAAACCTTGTCTAACGATTACTGACATAATAAAGTAAAACCTTGTCTAACGATTACCGACATAATAAAGTAAAACCTTGTCTAACGATTACTGACATAATAAAGTAAAACCTTGTCTAACGATTACTGACATAATAAAGTAAAACCTTGTCTAACGATTACTGACATAATAAAGTAAAACCTTGTCTAACGATTACTGACATAATAAAGTAAAACCTTGTCTAACGATTACTGACATAATAAAGTAAAACCTTGTCTAACGATTACTGACATAATAAAGTAAAACCTTGTCTAACGATTACTGACATAATAAAGTAAAACCTTGTCTAACGATTACTGACATAATAAAGTAAAACCTTGTCTAACGATTACTGACATAATAAAGTAAAACCTTGTCTAACGATTACTGACATAATAAAGTAAAACCTTGTCTAACGATTACTGACATAATAAAGTAAAACCTTGTCTAACGATTACTGACATAATAAAGTAAAACCTTGTCTAACGATTACTGACATAATAAAGTAAAACCTTGTCTAACGATTACTGACATAATAAAGTAAAACCTTGTCTAACGATTACTGACATAATAAAGTAAAACCTTGTCTAACGATTACTGACATAATAAAGTAAAACCTTGTCTAACGATTACTGACATAATAAAGTAAAACCTTGTCTAACGATTACTGACATAATAAAGTAAAACCTTGTCTAACGATTACTGACATAATAAAGTAAAACCTTGTCTAACGATTACTGACATAATAAAGTAAAACCTTGTCTAACGATTACTGACATAATAAAGTAAAACCTTGTCTAGCGATTACTGACAGACTGCTTTTAAGCAAATCAAACTTCAGACAATTTACCTCCTGATCTTTTAAACAATTTACGTTAAGTTTCTAAATCTATATTTCTGATACAGCCAATACCAAGAAAACTTAATTTACTGTGTAACAAACATAAAGGAAGTTTCATGACAATAAATGCCAAAGGTGTGTGTAAGTTTGGCATTTAATTTGAAAGCAATTTTAAGTATTAGCAAAAATACTTAAGTCTTTTCATATCATGAGTGACTCGCTGTGGACAATATTATTAAGGTTAGTGTCTACAGGATCCTGGTGTGATCAACCTTGTTTTGAAATACCTGGGCTTTCTGGCTATGCCAGGATAAGTTATACTGATAATGAAAATCTGCAGGAAGTTACCATCAAACCTTTAAAATATACACAAAATGTTCATGTGAGAAGTTTTGTTACCAGCTTAATTTCACGGTGACCACCTACCAGAAAAGCTGCCGACACACCCACTGACTGCTTGCTGCCTTCATTCTTGCCGATGTTCGATAGTTGCTGAAAAACAGAAAAAAACTAACTTGGAATATGCATCGAGGATGTGGACATTCTCATTCTTTGTAAAAAAAATATATACTTTCACCAGATTAGACAGGTCAAAGAGGATCTGCTGTTATCATTGTAATATAAGGGTTTCAAATCATGTTCTCTGATGCTGTTATCACTGTAGCATTAAGTTTTTGGATTATTTGAAACTCCTCGTTATTTTTTTCCTTCAACAAATGAAACTCCTCTAATGGAATCATTACACAAGCATAAGAGATTGAGATTTCCTGAACTCCTCTGCTGTTACCATGTACTTACATAAGCCCGTGATTCTCAGAACTCCTCTGCTGTTACCATGTACTTACATCAGCCTGTGATTCCCAGAACTCCTCTGCTGTTACCATGTACTTACATCAGTCGGTGATTCCCAGAACTCCTCTGCTGTTACCATGTACTTACATGAGCCTATGATTCCAAGAACTCCTCTGCTGTTACCATGTACTTACATCAGCCTGTGATTCCCAGAACTCCTCTGCTGTTACCATGTACTTATATCAGCCCCCAATTCCCAGAACTCCTCTGCTGTTACCATGTACTTACATGAGCCCGTGATTCCCAGAACTTCTCTGCTGTTACCATGTACTTACATCAGCCCGTGATTCCCAGAACTCCTCTGCTGTTACCATGTACTTACATCAGCCTGTGATTCCAAGATTTCCTCTGCTGTTACCATGTACTTACATCAGCCCGTGATTCCCAGACCTCCTCTGCTGTTACCATGTACTTATATCAGCCCCCAATTCCCAGAACTCCTCTGCTGTTACCATGTACTTATATCAGCCCCTGATTCCCAGAACTCCTCTGCTGTTACCATGTACTTATATCAGCCCCCAATTCCCAGAACTCCTCTGCTGTTACCATGTACTTATATCAGCCCCCAATTCCCAGAACTCCTCTGCTGTTACCATGTACTTACATCAGCCTGTGATTCCAAGAACTCCTCTGCTGTTACCATGTACTTACATCAGCCTTAGATTCCCAGAACTCCTCTGCTGTTACCATGTACTTACATCAGCCCGTGATTCCCTGAACTTCTCTGCTGTTACCATGTACTTACATCAGCCTGTGATTCCCAGAACTCCTCTGCTGTTACCTTGTACTTACATCAGTCGGTGATTCCCAGAACTCCTCAGCTGTTACCGAGTACTTACATCAGCCCGTGATTCCCAGAACTCCTCTGCTGTTACCATGTACTTACATCAGCCCGTGATTCCCAGAACTCCTCTGCCGTTATCACACCACTGACCACTAAGTCTTTATACAACTGAAACAATTCAGGACTCTCTTGCAATAATCTGCAAAAAGATGTTCAGAGATAGTTGAAACAGCTGTTTCTCAATGCTGTGTATGTGGTATTTTGTAAGGTGAACATTTGATATATTGAACCATACAGATGAGTTAATGCACAGACACCAATAAGAAGTACAGTTATCTCGAACTCTTTTAACTCGAAGACCCCGTTTATCTCGAAGTATTTCTCCGGTCCCGGCCAAATCTGTTCTTTATCTTAGTAAATAAAACTCTAATAATTCGAACCCTCGAAAAGTCGAAAAACTTGGATACCTCGAAGTAAAATATTGGTTTCAATAGCGTTAATCCAACATACGAATTTCATTTTGTCACTTGTTAATTCTTTGATACAAATAAGTAAAGGTGCCAGCAGTATGGCTTTGAAAGTCGATCGAGAGATTTAAGAACAAAACGATAATTGCTGTTCATTACATCGAGTTGAGGAGGTGTCAGGTGTGATGTTTGGCTTTAATAAATCAATGTGTCACATGTACGATATAATTTGTTTGTGTGTTTTCATTTACAGAATCAACTATGCGTACGCTCCATTACAGTGATTTGTTTTAGACTTGCGCACTTTCATTTTCGCATTGTAAACTACGAGATCAGAGACAGCGGTATAGTTCGGTTTGAAATGTAACACTTCAGAAATAAAACTTGACGGACTTACAAATACAGACCTGGAAAGACTTTGCCAAGATCTATACTAGCCTAATACAACATTTAATCAGTAGGCCAGTTCATATTTAATAACGAATTCACAAAATGGTCCAACCGTTTTGATCGCTTTTAAAAACAAAAGTACTTTTTTCTGAAATAACTTACTTTTTTTGTGAGCATGTTTATTGTTAAATTACATAGCTGTATTTGTTATATCGATTACGTGTATCATTTATCGATTGATTAAAAGCATTAACTATTAATAAAACCAACAACTGCTAGTGCAATGTCCCAACAGCAAATTTCATACCAAATCTATGAACCCGCATAACTCGAATACTCGGATAACTCGAAGTTTTTCCACGACCCCGTCGACTTCGAGATAACGAGGTTCGACTGTAGGTAGAATTATGAATTATACACAAAAATGCAGGTTAAAATTTGACATTCGAACTTAGCCTGACACATGCCAATATGAATGTGCACACCAATTTTGGTTGAAATCAACCTATTTCTATGGGAATTCCTGCAAAGAAACCAATCATGACAGACAGATAGAGATGAACAAACCCAAATTAATATCCTGTTTTCTCCAAAAGCAGGAGATGATAATGAATGAATGATGCCAGCAAATCCTCAATGTGCACGATAAAACTGTTTATCAAATTTGGAGGTAATTATATAATCTGCCACAACATATTGATACAGTAACATGGACAATGGGAATAAACTCCTGCAATATAAAAGAATGCAAATTATGACACATATCTAAAGTAGGAATTTTTAGTCACCTCAAAAATATATATCACACATTCAAAACAGGACATAATTGTTGTTAACAGAGTTGATTTAGTTCCTGTTTACATATTCCGTCTTTGCATATTGCAGAGTTATCTTCTCTTGTGAGCAGGTATTGATTGTTACACCATATGTTTGTGAGAGTAACGTCATCAATTTTTGAGAAAACGAAGTAATTTTCACACACAAACCAATGACGTAACAATCAATACCTGCTCACAAGAGAAGATAACTTTGCAATACGCAAAGACAGAATACTGAAGTGTGAATTATCAAGGAAACTTGATATCTGTGATAATGTGTCCTTGCTACTATTATCGCAACTGATGTTTTAATTTTAACCAGATATGCAGTGACCTGTTTTTTTCCTCCAGTTCACTGCTTATCTTGCTTCTGAACTTTGGAAGCAGTTGCTGTAAGAGTTCCTTGATACCATCTCTATCCTTGATCCCAACATCTCGACCTTTGGGGTTTGTAAAATGGAATGTCTTCGCACTGCCATCATGCATCACAACCTGAAGCTGCACTTTGTCCTTGGAGTCGGGAGATATTTTTTGACCTTGAAAAAGAAAAATGATTAAATTATCAAAATATGAATTTTATGGCAGAAAATTTAGATACATTTTTTTGTATAATTTACTTCAGACATTTTACAATAATTTCTCACTTTTGATGTCGGAGTACATGTGACTGAGGGAGAAGCTGTTCTTGCTCTCCACCATCCAGCCCATCCTCTCTCCCATGAGGTATAGCACACCATCCGTCTTCTTGTGTCGTACATGGTTCACAATGAGCAGGACATCTTCTGAGGATCTACTGGTAGACATACCTGCTCCTTTACCTTAAACATAACAAAACCGTTTTGTTTTGATAAGTTAAAGACACATGGTCAAAACTAAAGTGCTCAAGACTTACATTTTCAATTATGCACCAATGTCTCCAAAGCTACTTGACACACAGGTGGTGAACCTTAAACCAGTAATTTATACAGTTTTAACTTTATACTGGCGCAGATTTGTAACCTTCTACATGTACATGTATTATCAATGAGGACAGCTCATAACAGAAAGGAGAAACCACCAGAAGACCAAGTTGCGTTTTTCCAAATACATCATTAGCACTTAGCAGTTCCTGGAGGTTCAAATATATTACTGATATATATATACTGTAGAGTATTGTAGGGTCTACACATTGAAGTTCAAAATCTCAAAAATAATGACTCATATGCAGTAGGGATGAAAAGAAAGCTTGCAGATCCTAAAAAAAAACATGGATTTTAAAGAATTTCATTTGAGCACATGTTATATACAGAAAATCTGTTGTGGGCTCAATACAATTATTTTTCTTGATAAAAAGGTAAGAAAGGGATGAAAGCAATTTTGTAATCGTGCATTAAGAACAATATAAACTTCATGAGCGTTGGTGCACTGCAAGTGTAGTTTTTGATTGAAAAGTGGCATTTCAGTGCACATGTCCATGAATATAACAAGAATTAAATACAGGTTCTCTTAAGTATCTTTTTCTCTTCCTACATTTTCTTTGGTGTCGTTATTTTTGATGATTATACCAGTGTTATTGGTTGGTGGATTGTATTAACAATTTAGCAAAATATAGGCACAGTGATTTTCTTTTATTTTCTATTGAATTTGTCAGAAATCTATTCAGAAAAAAAAGAGTGTAAAAATGTAATGGATGCGAAGTCAGGAAATCCTCTAGTGTTGCTCTTTGTACTGATTTTACCAGTAACCAAGGAGATTCCATTGTGTGGTGAGTAAAAAGTGAAGCCGTGTACAATTTTTCACGCGCTAGAGCCGGTGCGCTCAGCCTTGTTAGCTTTGTAACTAGTTGTGTTATGTCCAATGGAAATACAAGTTATCACTCTGGATATTTTGAGCACTTCATTACAATTTTCTGGATAATAAACACAAGATGGATCATTCAGGAGTACATTAAGTTTTGTGATTACTTCTGTTGTATATTATTTGTAGGCCTAACGTTATATTCAAGACTGCGCACAGAAATTTGTAATCAAATATCACCTTTCACACAAAACGAACATTAAGCAATGTTATACAAATGTCATAGTTTGCTTCAAAGAAAAATTAAGACTACACAGAAAATCGTCTTCTCTGAAATGCGCTAGGTAGAAAGGTAACGCAAAGGGGTTGAAATATTGGGAGAAATACTGTTGACTTTGCGAAAAGAACAGAAGATACTGAACACTTCCCTGTCTCTTTTATCTCACACAACAAGCCAAAAAGATCTTACTGGATCATCACCAGGGCTTCATTCAAGAGACACATTCACATATTGCGACGAAAAACAATATTCCTTGTCCTTAAAATCCTATATTAGCAGACTCCTCCACATGTGTGATTCGTTTCGCGGAGTTTATAACCGGAAATCACTGTTTTACGACATCAATTTACCGTAAAGTAGTCGCGAGCATGCGCAATGAACTTAGCAACATTGTAAGCAAAGGAAGCATATCCTTTGCTGGCCAAAGGAGATTATTTCAGATAGCAATTTCTTTATGAGATTGATGATTATCAAGTAGCGGCGGCAACGACAAAAATCATGGAAGGTATGCTTATCCTGTGAAATACGTACTTTTCATGCTGTGTATTTCTACTAAACATACTAAGCGAAAGTGTGAGTCGGTGGGCAGCTGTTGACATCGTCAGACATCCTCTTTTTCTCCGTCACAGACTCATCTATCTGACTTCACACAGACCGCACTTAAACTGTGTTGAATATATAATATATTTATTTACTTAATCATATAGAATTTATCAACAGCTCCACCCTTGACAAATACAAATGTATGCTTTCAAAATGGTTGGTACTGGGCCTTGAAAACCCATGCAGTACTAGTGTTACTTTGTAACATTAAATTATACTTACATGTATTTGATTTGCAATTTTGAAATAAACATTTGCTGATTATCAGTTGGTGTCCTCTATCCCATTTACATAGCAGCTTGGATTTGATATCAATATATTTATTGCAATTTGCAAGAAATTTGAAAATAGGGAACATTCACAAACAAGAAAATGCAGCAAAACTGCTGGACACCAAATCTTTTGATAATTGTCACTACTGTACAGTCTTGAAGTATTGCTAATGATGCACATTTGTTAAAAGAGTGTTTTTCCTGGTTTAAATTAATGTATCATTCAAGAGATAGCAACATGTACACTCCTGAAATTTGAGTCTATTTATAGCTTCTGTCACATTGATCAATTAAGCAAAATCAGTGGGGTTTCCCCCTTTTGGGGCATCATTCAACCAAATTTTGCTTACACAAAGTTAATTGATTTAAAGTAACGACCTTGACCTAGTTAACCCAAATAATAGGGATCTTCCTCTTCCAAAGGGATATCATCAATTCAAGTTTGGTTTACATCTGTACTACTTTTGTACTATTGTTCAAGAGAAAGCATATGATAACCCAATTTTTTCTAAACATTGTAGTTTATTTATAGCCACTGTGACCTTAACCTTTATGTAAGTGACCCCAACATCAATACTACGCTTCTTAAATCCCATCCCAGGTGGACATCATTCACCTAACTTGGCTGATATTTGGCCTGTCGCATTTGGTTTAAAGGAGTGTCAAGTATGTCAGAATACACAAGTAATGATATTCAGTTTTACTTAACCTTGATCCACTTGTGAGGTCACAGATGAGAGATATTTACCAACATCATTGAATAACAGGCTAATGATACAGCTAGGTCAATGGGCCTTTTATTGTTTGCGCAGTTACTTTTTTTATGAATCCTTATTGCAATAGGTACAAAAAATTATTCCTGTACATTATAGGTATATATAATTATTTTCACTAAAATGTTGATTTCATATCAATATTGTGTCCGCTGTTTTAGTATTTTATAATTGTAGTTACTTCAAATTCATATACATGTATCAATTTCTGTATATATATGTAATTGAATTTTATTTCAGTGGAGACAAAAAAGCCCAAGGTGGGTTTTATGACCACCATGGACAGGGAAATGTTTCCAACAAAGATGCCGTATAACAGGTTTGGTAATGAAATAGCTCCCCTTCGAGGGGCCCCTCACCGCGGGCCAGGCTGCTATGAAAATGAAGATGTAAGTCACTGATATTTTATTTACATATAATGTGTTCTGTTCAATGTATCTACCTGGGGTATTTAATTTTCAGATAAAATTTATTACGAAAAAATGTAAACCAACATTGCCTCAATAGCTTAATTATGACGGTACATGTATATGGTTGTGATAATAATTTGATCATCATAATTGTTTACAAATTCTCTCTTTCAAAATGATTATTTGATATTATGCATGTACATTGTATTAGTGGTATATTTATGTTATCTGTATCAATTATTTTGATTTACAGAAAACCAGTTTTATGTACAACATTGAAAACAAAATCAACAGCAAAAAGGGTTATACTCTTGGAGCAAGAACAGCCGCTAGAATTCCATCTGGTCACGTGGTATGTATTCCGATTTTAATGCATCTATTATTAAATAAAAGGAAATAATATAAGTAATACCGGTATCAGAATTCAATTTTAATGGCTCAGCTGCAGTGAGAAATCTGGAAATATATTGAGAAGCATATTTGTTCTGTCACCCTTTTTAGCTTACCTAGCTCTAAGCTTAGCAATGGTGCAGCTGCAGCCATCCCTTCAGGGTCAATTTTGTTACCTGGTACTGGTAAAAAAAAAATAAGAAAAAAATAGCCGCCTTAAGGGTGCATGTGATATGATATTAAAATTGGCCAGTTAAGCATGCAGGGATAAAGACCTGAAACCACTCTAGGGCTAAGGGGTCAAATGTGTTAAACCTTTACAGCTAGCACCTTCTCAATAACCAAGATGCTTTATAGGGTGATGATATTTAGCAAGTACAATGCTGGATTGAATGGCTACTAAGCTGTTCAAATTACAATTGTTATTTTTGTTAACACCTTATAACAAATCAACAACTTTTGAAGAAATGGCAAAGAGGCCTAGGATGATAATATATGGACAGGTCTGTACTAGGATGAGAATATATGGACAGGTCTATACTAAGATGAGAATATATGGACAGGTCTATACTAGGATGAGAAAATATGGCCAGGTCTATACTAGGATGAGAATATATGGACAGGTCTGTACTAGGATGAAGTGCTATTATTTTGGTTCAATTAAAGGACTTAAACCCAGTTCAAAGTTTCAAGTTCACAGGAGTCAAATTTGTTAAAACCTTTAATTTCTCCTAAATGACCAAGAGACTGAAACTTAGTGAAAGTGGTTAAATAAACAGCTAGTAACATAATAGGATGAAGGCTATCAAGTTTGTTCAAATAATGGACCTTTGGCCTACTTTCAAGGTCACAGAGGTCAGATTTAACAGTTTCTTCTGAATGATTTAAGAGGCATAAGATTGATGATATCTTGACACCAGCAAATTAAGATGAAGGGCTATCAAGTTATTAAAATGAAGGACCTCGACCAATTGTCGAGATTGGAGTGACAGGAATCTAATGTATCAGAACTTTAAGTGTCTAAAGTTGTGAATAACCTAAGAGGCATGATGATATTTGGTGTAAAGCATTCTGTGATAGATGTCTTCTATGAATTTGATATTCAAACTCTTTGAGCGTCACAGCTATAACATATGAGTTATACAGGCTCAATGGGATTCTTGATTTGATAGCGTATTTCAATTATAAAGTACATTTTAGATGGCCATTTGTTTTGAATAAACAGACAGGATCAAAATCCCATCCTAAAAAATATCACTGCATGATCAAGAACTATTAATCAATGACTTTTAATTTAAGACAAGAGTGTACACTAATTTGCTAATCCATTTTGTTCAATTTGTTTTCAGTTTGAAACCCCTTGTCCCACTGAATATCAAACACATTGCACAGAAGCAAAACAGTTTGTTGATGACAAGAAGCCATTCTTGGTTGGTGCAGAAAGATTCCCTATTTACAAACGTGATATAGTAGATGTCCTTCCAGGGTAAGTTTACTATATGGATGTATCGTTAAATGCAACATAATTTCTTTTTGAGTGGATTCCCAGTTGTTATGGTGATCCAATTCAGTTTCTGTCTTGATGATGTTGGTCAAAATCAACAAAGTTAAAAGTTTTAATTATGTTCAAGAATGCATCAATTAAGCTGCAGGATAATTGATATGTATAAATTACAGACAATATGTTATAATTCCAATAGGAAAAGATATTTTAATTACCTTGTTAAAAAATAGGTACAAATACCATTTTGCTGAACTTAGGGTGAAGTTGAAATGAAAATATGAACATATAGTTTAAATATACATTAAGATTAATATAGCATTACATTAAATTGTGCTAATTGTGTAAGGGTTATCCCACTTATTTGGTATTTAGTAAGCATTATATACTTATTCAGAATGACTAAAGTATTACCAGTTACTGTATGCATTCTGGTGTATAGTACCTACTTATTTTTTAAATGTCATCAATTAATTACTCTCAGACAGTACATTAGATAATTATTTTGCAATTAAAATCTTTGACTTAATGTAGAAGGAAAGCTTATTGCTGGACAATTAAATAGCATTTTTAGGTCACCTGAGACAAAGTCTCATTTAGTGACCTATTCTAATGTGCTATCATTCTAACACTATGAATTAAATATTCATCAAAGTTCATGTGGGTACATTTTTAGTACTTTAAACAATTATATCAAATGTGTGTCACTGTGACCTCTATGCTAATTTTGAATGACCTATGGACAGATTTATTCCTCTATTTTGTTCTATTTTGGTTTTGGTTAGTTTAATAGCCCCATATTTCATCAAAGTGGGAGTATATGTATGTTTTATAAACATTTTTAGTTGTGGAACATCCCTTAAACTTGCCTTTATATGTTGTTTATTTGCAGTGCTGGAACATATGAACATCAAATCCCGAAGAATCGCAAGGTACAGTGGCACCAGTCATTTGGAGGGACTCCCATCATGCTGCCTGATATAACTATCAGGAGTACTATAGACCAGAACACAGAAAAGGTGGGTATAACTGGTATAACAGCACCACATCATCATTACGGACACAGATTATCATTGTAAATACGTTTTCTGGAGATGCATGATGGTCCTTCTCATGTGCCACTTTAAATTAACTTATTATATGGGCCATTGCTCAGTTTTGTCCGTCACAATGATCAACTGAAACTTGCTGGTAGATGGCGCTGATCTTCTTTTATGTAGGGGGGCACAAAGTTAAATAAAACTTGGGTATTGATTTTGTGACATCTCTGTATCGTTTCACGTTTTTCACCATTTCTCATTTTTTTTCCAAAAGCCTAAACTTTCAGTCCCTTAAAACATTCATATGATCTCAATTACAACTGTACCTGGTATTCATCATCTTCGGAAACCCTTGTTCGATTGTACTAGCGTTTATTGACCGTAGGAGAAGTTGTAGTAATTTTTTTCGTTTTACACAAAGCAATCCGATTGGTTCTATCTCCACTATCGCTCGGAAACTACTCAGAGGAGTTCTTGTTTGGTAACAACCAATTTGGTTGGCTTCTATTTATAGGATATCCTTATAAATTATTCATGACAATGAGGATTTCTTTGCGAGATCGCCCACGGACGATAAACACTAGTACAATCAAACGTGGGTTCCCAACGATGGGTATTCACATTTAATGGAGAGAGAAAAAATCCTTTGATATAGAGACTGAAAGTAGTTCTCTTTAAAATGTAAAAAAAACCCGCATCTTCTTAAACCTGGTTGGCCTCGCATTGTACTATATCAGAGCTGTAAGAACATACTTTTATCGGTCATCAACTCTGGAGTTATTTTGAATATGCTGCCTGTGGAAGATAAATATGTAAGAAAAAAAGTTTTTAGTGAGAATATTTAAAATGAAACTTTAATTTCATAAGAGACTGAAATGTTTGGTCTAGTAATTGGTCTTGTAATGCAGTTTGCTTATTTTTTTCCCCCTTTTATATGCTACCGAGTTGAAGTGGAAGCAGTTCTCAGTTTACAGGTTTTAAGATTTTGTATCATCATTATCTATTAATTTATTTTACTTTTTCCCAGCTGTACAGTACTAAGGAAGAAAAGAAATATCACAGGAAACTGGCTTACCTCAAATTATACTGGGAAAAAGGACAATGAGATTGCAGAGAGTAAAAAAAAACAAAAGAAACTTCAAATCATGGATATGGATTTATCGCCATCATAGTACAAGTTGTATGAACAGTGTGACGAAGAAAGTTGATCAGGGAAGAAACTACAAGTACGTTGCCACATGATCACTTTCCTTCATTGTTATTGTGTATATACAGGCTCATTTGCTCAGTCGTTTTGAGTCTTCAAGTTGTTTTCTGGACATACAGGTCTGGTGGTGATCTTTTGGAACAAACATAGGACTACTTTTGAGTGACAATTGCGAGGATACAAAATGATCTGTTTGTAGAATCCATTTTCGTTCAGATGAAGTTTTTCAGTTGGTTTACAGACTTCAAATAGATCTCCAGGTTTTTATAATTGACTATAAATCCAAATTCCAATGTGATACAAAAGTATATATTCTTGACGAATCCCGTTTCAAGTGTCTGTGATATGTTAAGTCTTAAAATAGGTGTTTGTATTTACTGATCATGAAAACTTTTTAAAACATTTCTAGAATTACTTTCACTTATTGTATAAACATTGTAACGAGTTATATTTAATTGAAGGCGATATTTTTTTTTACATTTGTGTAATATTAACAAAGTGCATTACTGCACAATTTATCAAGACATTCTTATCAATTCAGCATGTGCTTGTATATAATCGGGGGGTTTTAATTTCATTTCAATAAATTTGTTTGTATTTTACCTGAGCACTGTTAACATGTTTAAAGGTTTTGTTACTTTTTTGTGAAAAACAATACATGTTTTATGTTAATATAAAAATATGACAATGTAAAATAAAACATATATCACAAGTATGTGTGTACACGTCTTTCTGGAAACTTTTGGCATTTCACTGATCTTATTTTGGAGAAGTGGAAAACGGTTTCACTTTTAAAATATTTCCGTGTTCTTGGACTTGGATGATGGCCCGCTCCTTATAGCCTTGAAAAGCATATCCTGCCATAATATTTCTGTCCTATGTTATTACGATATTGGACTTCAAGCTCATTTAAATTACTGAACACAAGACAGGTTGATCATGTAATAATTGTTTATTACCTTTTAAACAACTTTCACTTCTGCAAACACATATATTATCTATCGGCCCGGAGTGCTCCCCTGTACATTAGGCACACGAAACCTTAGTAATATTTCCATACAAAAGGTGAGTAGGGTATCCTTGCACAAATGGGGATATCAGACAAACATTCTCACACATGGCATCAAGGACATGCTCATGCCATTTTGAATCAGTTCAATAGTGTGATGAAGAAAAGGTTTTGATATATGGTTTTCAATGCATGTAACTGAAGTTTTGAATGAAACATTTTACTATATCTGCATATTTTTCAATGAAATTCAGGAACTTGAAAGTGTAAGCGTTTCTTAGTTGCCACTCGATCCTTTAAATACATTTTTTTCGCAGGTAAAGCTAGCTGTTTGAAGTTTGCAAACTGCACCAGTGCAGTATTTACTCCAGTGTCCAGTGGAGTTTTCCCCCACTACAATGCGTAGTATGACAACCACTTTTACATTAAAATCAAGTATATATCATACTGAAAATGTTATTATCTGAACACATACTCTAAACACATTTTAACAATAATCTTGCTCCGGCAAAGAATGTGATTTTTCAGTTATAAAGTGTGTTATCAGTGCTAACAGACGGACAGTTGATCAGGGTGATATGCATACCTTATGCTGAGGAACTTGACAATCAGGAATTAAGTGATTTAGAACCAGGTCTTTTCCAAAATTTGACTTCATATACAGAGTTGGCTTCCTGGGAAGTACCCAGATGAGATTAGAACCTCGTCTGTCAAGCCTGTGAACTGGGCGGGCTTTGGATCACTAAGCACAGGCTTATATTAAGTAGAATATGGCTCAATGTATATATAGACGACGACTGCTGCTATATGTATATTTACTGCTGTTTGGTCACCATTTAATGACTTTTATAAACATTATCAACTGCAACTCAAGATCGCAAACTATTGTTAAGGAAATCCTGTTTCAACAAAAATATTGAAATATGAAAATTGTTTTATACCTACGTAGCTGATATTCTAATGTCTATAGCTGCCATCTCAGGTAAAGGGAATCTATGCTAAGACAATTGTAAATATATCACAAATAGAAAGAAAAAGAATACATTCACAAATACAATCAATGTATGAAATAACGTATACTGAAGATTTTAACCGAAATCGATAAAATTTCTACAAAAAGGGGCCAAGAGAAAAAGAAATACAAATTTGGTTGGACGGACATTTTTTCAAGATCTGCAGCCAGTAATTTATTCAGCTATCAACTGTTCAAAATAATATTAAAAAGCCCTAAGAAGGTAGGTACAGAAACTTATAAAAAATTCTCTTATCCTTATTTTTTTTCTCAGACGTGTATTCTTTTGATGGCACCTTTATATCATAATAGAAAGTTTATTCTTTCTTTATATTTTTTAATCTATAAAATTGAAAGTAAAAATTTGAAAACTAATTCTGTATTCAGTGGGATTTTTGATGATAGACAAGTAAGTTTGAGCTTTATTATCAACATTAGTCTGCAACATTATTTGAGAGACATTTTCTAATGCATTAACCTATGTTAATACATGTATGTTGTCTTACATACTGTATTCATCACTCCCAAATTATTTTTTCAGGTTAAGCATAAAATTCAAAGGCAAGTATTATTGTTTATAAACAAGGTTATCTTGGAAGATCTATGGATAGAGATGATAGGTGATAGCAAAAATGTTTTATAAAAACAGAAGACAAAGGACCTTTATAGGTGAAAATAAAATGGAAGCACCAGAGGTCACTCGGAACTATTTTGGTGATGCTAAAATGTGTTAGGGTGACTGTCCTCCTCATTGATCATTAAACAAGAAAGGTCTACACTAACTACTTGGGAAAGGATTGACACAGGAAAATGCTCTCAGGTTTACAATAACAAGTCTGTCTGAGGTGGAGATGGATTTATTTTATTGTGGATTGATGAGAAACTCTGGAAACCAATATCATATTAAGTCAAAATGTATCCCCAGTACAGGGGAAGGAAGTTCAGCATTATTGTCAGTACTAAATCATTAGAAGCCAGATAAAAAAAAAGTAACAAAGGCTTTGTATCCACACTAGGTGTAGAATGTAAACCTTGTGTTTAAATTAGCAGATCTTAAGCATTCTCGGAAATGTACTTAGGACAATGCCATAGTTAAATCACTACCAGGACGCCCTGAAATACATGTACCTGTAGGTCACATTTCAAAAGCACATTAACCATATCTACATTACCCCATCTGCCCCACACACTTGCTCATCACTCACATGACATTTTATAAATAAGCATGTTTATTTTAAATATTGATGCCAATTCAATATTATCATAGTCAACAGTTTGGTTTACAACCACAAATACCTTAGAAACAGAATTATTCATTAACACATTTTTGACATGCTGGTAATATTGACTGCCCGACTTAAAAATTTAGATCAACCACAATATTATTAAGAGTTTCATGATTCCACACTCATTCCACACTCATTGTAATATAAATAATCAGACAAGTGGACTACATAGCACAGTACTGACCTATCAATGTATAAAACAACTCGTTCATCTCTCGTCCTATCATACCTATCTCAGTGGAATCTCACTAATCACAGCTACTGTATACAGCGTAACCTTGTTAACCCAAACAGCTGTGTACAGTGTAACCTCATTATTAAGGAAACTGTACAGTGTACCCTCCCATGTCTGATCAAATAAATACAGGAAAACCACTTATACCACTGTATACACTTAAACCTCTTACCTAGATAATAACTCTTTCTGGATGGTTGTGTGGCACAGTGCATAGCACACTCACCTTTGACAAAGATTCCCCAACCAGACGTGAAAAGGTATGGGGTCACCTGCTCAACCACCTTGGTGTTCTCGGGGGTACTCAGGTTTTCTCTCACAGACTCCAGCACACACTAAAATCTAGGCCAACAAGAGTGACTAATATAAGTTGAAATAACTTGTTTTCATTATTATTGTAAAATAAATAAGATTTATAATCTAGACAATTTTATACAGTGAAACCTGTTTAATCTTAGATAACTGAAAAGTGGAACCTTTTCAATTTTGGTAACTTTATACATGGTGATCTATTTAATCTTGAAATAAACCTCTTTCATGTGGACAACTTTATACATGGTGACCGATTTTATCCAGAAATCTGTGCATGGAGACTTCTTCAATCTAGATAACCATACCAGTGTGACCTCTTTCATATGGACAACTTTATACATAGTTACATATTTAATCCAGAAAACTGCGTGAACAGCGACTTCTTCAATCTACATCTTTACAAATGTCTACAGTAAAACCTCCTCAATGTGGACAAATGTCTACATGCCATGGTGACCACTTTAATCCAGTCTACTTTAGAGCAGATCCTGTTTTACCTGACAATGCTCTTTCATCTGGACATCCGTCTACATGGTAATTTTTATAGCTTTTAAAAAGGCATATTTTGTAGTTTTGTTTTTAAGAAAAAGTGATATTTTACACCCTTTTTATCAAAATTGTACCCTCCTGTCCTTTTCCTCTCAAATTCTTATTATGTTTTTAGAGAGTTTCATTGTCATTCTTAATGTGTATCTGCAGGATAGTTTTTGCTTAATAAGAGAATCATGGTGTATTTTTACATGATATGAAATTACACTGAAACTGTTATACAACATCTTTGTCATTGAAATCCTTGTTGGGGCCCCAAGTAAACTTTACTTTTGACCCCTAAAACAGATTTACTTCACAGCTTCCAAAAACAACTGGTTATCACTCTGACATAATGAATACAATTCTTTCAGATATTACTTTCAATTTCAATTTATTCATTTTTCTATTAGCTATACTTGGCTTGCCTTTGACTTGAAAAAGTACACAGGTGGTATAAACAATTACTTAATGAAATAAAATTCATAATTAAACTGAATGTATTTTTGCTGAAGGTAATGCTTCATTCAAATGATTTTGGTGTTATAAACCACTTATGTTATAAATTTATCCAAGTTTTTCATTTAACTTGATTTGATTTTTATGTCAGTTTTGGTAAATTTTCTACACACATGTATTTGACCAAACCTTAAAAATTAGTTCTTTAAAATTGATTAGCCAGCATCTTAAGTATATCTCAAAGTCTCAAAAAGTAATGTTTTAAGAAAGAAAAAAATATCTGTTATCACCGTTTCAATACACTTTAAGAAACAATGCCAACAAAATCACATTATTTCAATATTTGGTAGATATAACTAATACGAATCTTCATTCAGACAAGGGTTGGTTTATAGCATTATACATGATCACTAATTAACAGTTATTACTTGTACTTGTTTTAAAATGCCCCCCNCTTAACAACTACACCAATTAAAACAAAAGCTGACACTTGTTCCACCAACAGTCTATAACATTAGCAAAGCCACTGTATAGTGCTACCTTTTGCATGACATTTAAATGAACTGTTTGTGACCATTAAATTCTTCTTTGAACTACTGATTTGGCGTCCAAAAAAATGTTTTAATTTAGCCAAATTATATCCCCAAAAATAAAGGAATGCAAAATATTTGACACAGCAAATTTATAGCATTATACATGAAGAATTATCAATGAGTGCAATTTTTTTAACAATGATGGCATGGATTAGAATCTTCAAAAATATCACTTTTACATAAAAGATTGAACACTGTCATTAACACAGTTTCTTTGATACAAAGTATTGTCTTGTTGTTGTGAGTGAATATTATATTACAAAACCAAATACCCGGTACAAAGTCGAAGGAACACAAAAACTTGGACAGATTAACTGTGGTAACAACCATAAAACATTAATTGCATGCTTCCCTGATGATACTCTCTACCTCCCAACTGACATACACATATAATACACTCTCCCTCTCTACTGTGTAGAAAATCCCTAAAATTACATTCAACTCACACATTCACAGGAAAATCTAAATATAAAAAAACTTCATTCCATTGCAAAACTCTATATATGAATTTTCTCCACAAACAATTTGAAAATGGAGACACTACAAGTTCTGAGTTGTGCTATCGACTTGATTTTTTCTTCGTTTTCACCTCTCCATTAGCTTTCACGGCACTGTCCTTTGCATGCTTCACTGTAGACTTTTTAGGAGCATCACGTTTGTATTTGGACACATAAGCTTCCACTAACACTTTAATTTTTACAGGATTGATATCTCCACTCTTACTGTGACACACCTGAAACAAAGAAAACACCTATCATTAGAACAATAACCCTGTTATCTAATATTCGTATAAGTCTTAAAATAAGATGCATTTTTTGCCATTCAATTTTTACATAATTATTTTTTCAGAGGCAATAAAGTGAATGTAGTCACTAAGGTAAAAACTGTGAAAATCAGTGGACATGTACACTTCCTTCAAATTTAAACAAATGAAGGACCAATTTATGTGGGATTGACGTACCGGTATATAGGTAGCTGCACCCGAACACCATTAATATTAGACCCTGACGTTCAAGCTTCACTGGCTTATGGTAATAACAATCGGTCCTAAATATAGCTTTCAGTGTTTATGATGGATTTACGGGTAAAGTAACATTTGTCAAGTTTTGTTTACAAGCGAGTGTAGCTTTAGTTTTGTATGTTTGGGACACTGCATATAAGTTACCAACGTTACCAAAATTAAGAAGCCTGGCATGGCCGACTTAAATAGTTCATTTATTTTTGCGATGTTCAAGGACATGTTAGCATATTTAAGCATCTGTCATTGTTTTTGTTTAATTGGAGAATTCTAGGTGGGTTAAAACATGATAACTTTATCCCTATCTATTAAATTTTGGCCTGAACGTATAATAAGAGGCCAATGGGCCTTAACTCATTCACCCCTGAAGAGGGCCTCAACTCATTCACCCCTGAAGACACATTTGAACCCTTCCGATTCAAAGGTTGTAAAAGTGCATTATGAAATTTCAGGGTTGAATGAGTTGATGCTCATATGATCATTGTTGTGAAATATTGATTCTTTTATCTTATTTATGTCTGAACCTCTGAACTTTTAAAAGGTTAACTCACAATAAACTCATTTGTATCACTAAACCAAACACATGTAACTTTCACGGTTAAATGAGTATTCAGTCAAGATTGTTTGTAGAACAAACCCATCTAAGATGAACTTTAAGTATACTGCATTGTACAGATATATTTGAAGAAAGATGAAGATGGAAATGATCCTTGTTACCTTGATAGGGAGCCAGTCATTTATCATAATCGTTTATCCCGTTTAGCAACAAACACAATGTATATTATTTATCTACATCTTCATAGATCCTCAAAAGTTGTGTTTTTTCATAAAAATTTGACCCTGATGACGTCAAAAGTTCATTTAACTGAACAAACTTTATGGCTCTTAAACCCTGCAAGCAAAGATGAGTGGCAATACGTCACAAATGCTCTGATGTATATCAATAAGCCTCTGGCCAAACGATATAAATGGACAAACCTTAGGTACAGCCTTTCTGAGGATTTCCTTGTACTGGTCCTTAGAGACCTGCTTTGTGTTGTAGAATGGTTTGAGTGCAACCTTCACCTCATCCACCACCCTCTCCTGGAGGTGTAGCTTCTTCAGGTACTAAAACACAACAGTTCTATTAGTAGGACATCCAAATACCACTGAAGGTATTGTATACATGTACATGTAGCTTCTTCTTTAGGTACTAAAACACAACTTGTTTCTTTAGTAGGACATATTATAAACACTCATTAAGTGTAGCTTCTACACAACTTACTTACCTAAAACACAACACTCTGGTTTGTAGGATATATACTATCAAAAAATATAGGATCTTACATGAGTTTCCATTTCATATGAGATTTATGAAATGCAGAATTTAGCAAGCTAAAATGAAAAATTTGTGACGAGTTTCATAAATTTCATATGAAATGAAAACGAGTGAAAGATCCTCTTTATCATATAATCAAGATTTCAGGCATTTATTTGTGTAAAACCACAATTTTCTTGCAACTTCGAAACGTAAAAAGCCGCTATTTTGACTCCAGTGCGCAAGTCAGTGTGACGTCATATACTTGTCCTAGGCATGAGATCACAATTGGGACAATTGAAACTTACAACCAGTCACAGACCTGATAGGTCAAATTACATGGGTTAATACGCAAAAAAATATGACATGGGTATATTCACTGGATAGCACAGAACATTATGTGATAAATACATTTCGAAACATTTTGCCCCTAAATTTATGCACATATTACCCCCCCCAACTTTCTGATTAATGTGCTTTTAAATGCAGTCTCCATGTCGCCACTTTATGATGCCCTACTGTTTTGGATCTTTGAACCCCAGAAAAAAGGTGTTTCCAAATTTTCTTAATTAAAACATTATCATTTCTTAAATAGGGTTGATCAAAAAGGCCTTCAAACAATTGTTTCAGGCTCCAAAATCTATTTTGAAATGAAGTTTGAAGAAGTTTGTGAATCAACACATTTTATATTATCAGTCCCACTGACTAGTTTACTACTTAAACAAGGAGCCAACTTTCCATGCATGAATGAAACACTAGACTGTGCAAATAAACAATATCAAATTGACTGTGAAACAGGATATTTATCTGTACATTTTTTGCACTCAATCATTTATAAATGTGTTGTGTCTTGTGAACAAGAAACTCATCTCAACCATGAATTGGTACATTCATGTCTATACAGTTAAAATATAATCCAAAATCCAAAATCCTATTGTTTTCAAAAAATAACACGTCACTGTCTTAACAGCGTCATTTATATCTATTCAACCGGAAATCCTGCGAACATCAGAACATCGGTTTCTTTAGACAACATCTACTACTTTCTACATGAAATCAGTGTAAATAATGGACATGTCTTCGGTTGATCTCAGACATCAAAAATAATTCTTCTTATTGGCGGTATTGCTACTGCAAGTTGGAATATAAAAAGATGATGCTAACTGACAAATATCTTTCGTGATTACCCTTAAATTGAACATTTTTATCAACAATTGCTTCAATGCATCGTTTCATTAACCTTTTTCCTCATGCAATAGATCAAAACATTCTTGAATTATAACATACCTTTTCTTTATTTGTTAATTCCACAGCAGAAGATGGCATTTCATCGTTCGACATATCGTTCATTATATCATCAAACATGACATCGTCCATTTCATCCTCTGTTGGTTTATATTTTTTCTCTTTCACTTTCACTCGCGAAGACTTACTAGTCCGTTCTTCACTGTCACGTGCACCCTTAAACCGCACTTTACCTGAATGACTATCTGACCCCTTCTTGTCTCTTTTACTCCGTCTGTCCGAGGATTTTGAACTAGAATCACTTCCTAAGCTGCCAAACATATTTCTATCGTTATTTTTGTCCTGTGTTAGATGGAGCTCAATATTTCCGTCATCTAAGGGTGACGACATGTCCATATCGACCACCTCCATGGTTTCCGCCTCCTCCTTTCCATTTGAGTTCATAGCACCACCTAAGACTAGTTTTTGTTTGCCACCCCCAAGAGGTGGAAGTGGCACCTTGAATACATCATCCCCATTTGTTTCATTTCCAGGAGCTTCCCCAGGATGATTTTCTTTGGCCATCATGGCTAGTTGGGCCTGTACATTGAGAATTTTGGTTATGTGCGTTATCTGTTCCATCTGACTAAGACCCTGGAGACTTTGAGGTGGACCCTCTCTATGTTGTTCCCCTGGTCCCCCAGGCAGCCTGTCCCTGAGGTCAAGCTCAGGCAGCAGGGGAGGAATGCTAGATTCCTGTATTGACAGGTGTCGTGGATGAGGTCCTGGCGGTGGGCCCTGCATCCGAGGGTCATGGCTCATACGTGGATCACTTGGCCCTCGTAATATATGCTGGAATTGGGGTGGAGGTCCAGACTCTGGCGGCATAGGTTCAAATCCTCCATTGACAAGATTAGGCTGTCCTGGAAGGTTTCCATGTGCCATACGAGGACCAAAGCGGTTCTGTAGTGGCATCATGCCACCACTCGTTGGCACTTGAAGACTAAACTGTGGCAGGTGGCCTGTCTGAAACCTGGGGAATCTGCTGAATGGCCCCCTATTGATTAACATTGGGTTAATCATCATTTGCCTCTGGGGAGGCATGCCTGGCTGAAAACCTGGTGGTAACATCCGCATACCTAGTGGCATCGGAGGCACATTTTGCTGCTGTATGAGAGATTGTTGATGATCACCAGTGGGCATGAGGAGAGTACCTCCTTCCCCTAGAATACTCTGACTTGGGGGAGGGGGTTGGTGAGGCGGAAGTGGAGAGAGACGCTGGTGAGCAGCAAATCCCTCCTCAATCATATGTGGAGGGAAGGACATCTGTGGAGGGGGCACATTGTATATCATTTGCTCTGTGTCCAGTGGAGGGAGGGGAGGACTAGATTCTTCAGGGTCATCTGTGGGAAAGGCTGGATCATACTCTCCAGCACTTTCCATGGGTCGGTTCAGGGTGATGTTCCTTGACATCAGCGGTGGAATCTGGATGGCTGAGATGTTTTGGACCGTTGCCTTGTCCTCAGATACTTCCTCATCGTCCGTGTCCTTGAAGTCAATCACTTCAGAGGGAGATTCATTCCCTTTCTGTTGCTGACTGCCTATCACCTTAATGTTTTGTGTTTTTTCAGTTGTAATGACAGATATTGGTTGGTTTTGTTCAATGTCTGGTTTCTTACTTGTTACCACTGTGATTTTCCGAGACATAAGAGGAGGAATCTTAAGTCGTTCTCGCATATCCTCAGAAATAGCACTATTTTTATTAGCATTCTCATCACTTCTACCTAGCTTACTATCCTCAGAATGTTTTGCACTATGCTCTGGTGATTTCACTTTCTTCCTATCACTGCTATCAGTACCTTCCGATACTAAACGAGGTTTTTTTGTCCAGAGAGTTACTTCCTCTTTTCTTTCAACCTTTTCCTCACGACGTTTTTGACGTTTATCATCCCCACTAAACCTATTTTCTTTCTCTTGCATCCTTCTGCTTGGACTTTTACTTCGACGGGACACTTTTTCCCTCTCTCTGCTCCTATCCCGCCTTCGTCTCTTGTGATGTCGTTCCCATGATCGAGATCTACTCCGTTCATAGCGTTTCCTTTCTCTTGACCTTGACCTTCTCGATCGGTCTCTTGACCTTGACCTGTCGCGTCTGTCACGTGACCTGCTGCGTGACTTGTACCTATCATGCCTATGTTTGTGCCTACTTGATCCATCCCTTTCCCTATCCCGATCTCTATCTCGATCATGACCTCTTTTAGAGTCTTTTCTATCATCACGTTCTCTTCTTGAACTACTCTCCGAGATTTCCCTCACTTCCTTTTTCTCTGTCTTAAGTTCATGTAATTTTCTTCCAGTTTCAACTTTAACGATTATCACATCCTCCTCTTTCATTACTGTTCTTTTAAAAGACTCCTCCTCATCTTCCTCATCTTTGCTCTGTTTGCTTTTACTCAAGCTAACCTTTTCAGGATCAGGATCACTCCTAGAAGACCTGCTTCTTCGTTTTTTCTTTGGTATACGTGGAAATTCTGAAATTGGAAGAAGGGCGTCTTCCATTAAACTAGAATCTTGAGAATTTTCCTCCACTACTACTCTACTGTCACCCTTCCTACTCTTCCGATTTTTCCCAGAATGCTTTGACTTTTGCCTTTTTTTACTCTCTTCATTTTCCATATTATCCTCTGACCAAGTAGCCCCACGGTCATCTCCATCAGAATCCCATGCATTTCCTAACTCATCTTGAGCTATTATTTCTGTTAACCTACCACTTTCTTGTTCTTTGAGGTTATCATTGGTCTTTTTACTTGGCATATCCTGCTTAACTTCTGTTTCTTCCTCAACCTCTTCCTCGCCACCCTCCCCCTCATCCTCGTCTTCAATTTCTTCCATCTCTTCATCTACTTCTTCCTCTTCTTCCTTTTCATCAGCCTCCTCAACTTCTTCCAGTTCCTCCTCTTCCTCATCACTTTTTTCACCAGTAGCTTCCTCATCTTCAGCCTCCTCTTGGTTCTCCTCATCCTCCTCCTCTTCTTCACCTGATGCATTTTTCTCTTCACTGCCATCTATTCCTGCAACTTCCTCATCAAAAGAGATCTGAGCCCTAGATTCAACCTCATCATTTTGGCATGAATACTCGTCCTTTTCAGAGGAATCATCCTTTTCTCTGTTGGTATTAACAGATGCTAAACATGTAGTTACTTCTCTATCGAGGTATCTGACAGAATCCAGAGGACTGGAAGATCTTGATTTATCACAATGAACAGTTTCATCTGTATTCATTTCAGCATCCTCACAGGTTTCCTTTGGCAACATAACTTCACCTGAAGTATATAACAAGCAGGACATGTAATATCTGCAGTTCATTATTGTGGTTTGTTGTAGCCATATGCACACATAAAATTGTAAATAAAACTTGGCCCAACCCTTGCCGATATATGTGCAACCCAAATTTAGTTTAAAACTAACCCATTTGTGGGTGTTAATGTAAGCAAACCAATCAGAAGTTACCATCAAAGTTTACACCATATAATTATAAAGCATTCACTAATTTCTATGATCCCCTGAGGTTAACGTTTGTTATATTTTGACTGGAGCCAATCAGAGTTTCAAAGGAAGTACAAATAATGGTGTTACATATTCACCATACTCAAATTCAATCTTTAAAACAAATCTGATCATGTTGAAATATATCAGAGCCAGTTACAGCTATACAAACCTTCATTCTGGTTACAGTCCTGTTTCTCCTGTACTGTGTCGTCTGCCTGTAATGAACCATCATCTTTGTCATCATTTGCAGCTTCATCCTCCTCTTCGTTTTCTTCCCTGTTTTCAGAGGCCTCCATCTCATTGTCAGCAGACTCATTTTCATTGTCACTGGACACATTCTCAATATTGTCTCCATCCTTCCTGATGTCATCAGCTTCATCATCATCATTGTTGTCTGCCTCACTATTAGGGTCGTCATCCTGGTTCTTTAAGCTGTCAGTCTCATTCTCAATGTCATCAGCCTCACTCTCACCAGCCTCATTCTCAATGTCATCAGCCTCACTCTCACCAGCCTCATTATCAATGTCATCAGCCTCACTCTCACCATCATCAGCATTACTCTCCATTTCCTCTTCTTCATTCTCACTGTCATCTTTTTCCTTCTCCATATTCTCTTCTAAATGAACCAGTATGACTTCCTCTTTCACCACATCATCTTCCTCCTTCACTGCAATGTTGGTTTCCACAGTCTGAGCAACATTTTCTTCATCCTCATATTCTGGCGAGAAGCATGCTTCATCTTCCCCAGATTCTTCATCACTTTCCTCTTTTGGCTTGGCGGTTTCACACTTTTGAGGTTTATTGTTGGACCCTTTCTCTGGTTTTGCTAGCAGTGTGCCTGAAATAAATGAAAAAGACACTATCATAAATACTGGTGTTTGTTTTAAATGCTTAAGAGAACAGCTATTTTGATGGCTATAAGAAGAATAGAACAATAGAATAATTAAATCACTGTTATCACTGTAACATACCAAAGCCACACTATGTATTATATTAGTCAGTAACAGTACAGTGTAGCTTACCATCTCTCTGTATTGTGACATTCTATTCTTCAGTAACAGCATATTGACGCTTACCATCTCTCTGTTTTGTGACATTCTATTAGTCAGTAATAATAGTGTATCTTACCATCTCTCTGTATTGTGACATTTTATTAGTCAGTAACAGTAGTGTAGCTTACCATCACTCTGTATTGTGACATTCTATTAGTCAGTTACAGTAGTGTAGCTTACCATCTCTCTGTATTGTGACATTCTAATAGTCAGTAACAGTAGTGTAGCTTACCATCTCTCTGTATTTTGACATTCTATTAGTTAGTAACAGTAGTGTAGCTTCCCATCTCTCTGTATTGTGACATTCTATTAGTTAGTAATAGTAGTGTAGCTTACCATCTCTCTGTATTGTTACATTCTATTAGTTAGTAACAGTAGTGTATCTTACCATCTCTCTGTATTGTGACATTTTATTAGTTAGTAACAGTAGTGTATCTTACCATCTCTCTGTATTGTGACATTCTATTGGTCAGTAACAGTAGTGTAGCTTACCATCTCTCTGTATTTTGACATTCTATTAGTTAGTAACAGTAGTGTAGCTTACCATACCAAAGCCACACTATGTATTATATTAGTCAGTAACAGTACAGTGTAGCTTACCATCTCCCTGTATTGTGACATTCTATTAGTTAGAAACAGTAGTGTAGCTTACCATCTCTCTGTATTATGACATTCTATTAGTTAGTAACAGTAGTGTATCTTACCATCTCTCTGTATTGTGACATTTTATTAGTTAGTAACAGTAGTGTAGCTTACAATCTCTCTGTATTGTGACATTCTATTAGTCGGTAACAGCACATTGTAGCTTACCATCTCTCTGTATTGTGACCTTCTATTAGTTAGTAACAGTAGTGTAGCTTACAATCTCTCTGTATTGTGACATTCTATTAGTTAGTAACAGTAGTGTATCTTACCATCTCTCTGTATTGTGACATTTTATTAGTTAGTAACAGTAGTGTAGCTTACCATCTCTCTGCATTGTGACATTCTATTAGTAAGTAACAGTAGTGTAGCTTACCATCTCTCTGCATTGTGACATTCTATTAGTAAGTAACAGTAGTGTAGCTTACCATCTCTCTGTATTATGACATTCTATTAGTTAGTAACAGTAGTGTAGCTTACAATCTCTCTGTATTGTGACATTCTATTAGTCAGAAACAGTACAGTGTAGCTTACCATCTCTCTGTATTGTGACCTTCTATTAGTTAGTAACAGTAGTGTAGCTTCCCATCTCTCTGTATTGTGACATTCTATTAGTTAGTAATAGTAGTGTAGCTTACCATCTCTCTGTATTTTGACATTCTATTAGTTAGTAACAGTAGTGTATCTTACCATCTCTCTGTATTGTGACATTCTAATAGTCAGTAACAGTAGTGTAGCTTACCATCTCTCTGTATTGTGACCTTCTATTAGTTAGTAACAGTAGTGTAGCTTCCCATCTCTCTGTATTGTGACATTCTATTAGTCAGTAATAGTAGTGTAGCTTACCATCTCTCTGTATTTTGACATTCTATTAGTTAGTAACAGTAGTGTATCTTACCATCTCTCTGTATTGTGACATTTTATTAGTTAGTAACAGTAGTGTATCTTACCATCTCTCTGTATTGTGACATTCTATTAGTCAGTAACAGCATATTGTAGCTTACCATCTCTCTGTTTTGTGACATTCTATTAGTCAGTAATAATAGTGTATCTTACCATCTCTCTGTATTGTGACATTCTATTAGTCAGTAACAGCACATTGTAGCTTACCATCTCTCTGTATTGTGACATTCTTGCTGTCCATCCCCAGAATTGTCTGATTCTGAATTATGGAACCAAGGAGATCAAATCCCCCAGTGGCAGGGACAGGAGTGGGGACCAAGTCGGCAGCACATCTAGAGGAGGAAGCTGTGGTGGCTCTGAAAATAGATACAACCATCAAAACAACTGTTATATGAACAAATGCACATTCAGTTCATTTTATTAGGTCACCAACTCAACTTTTCTGACAATTAATCTATGAGGCTTGTCAAGTCACCATAGAAGATTTCATATTTGCATACAAGTCAATTGTCATTTTAGTAATCTCTTTCTCTTGTTAATTGACCAGATTATTTTACTTAATTCAAGTGTTCAGGTTTTCACAAAGTTCAATTATTAACATCAATGTTATCCTCTATTTTCATAAGATTAGAGAGGTAGACTAACAAACAAACCCAAAGTTTCATTTTCATTATAAATGGTCCTCCAAATTCTGATTATAGTAAAACCTCAGTAAATACTTTTCTTTACATTTATAACCTCTCATAATGTCAAAATTTGTTTGCATGGGTAGTAACGTCCTGGCAGACAGCTAATGTTCTTATGAAACCAGATATCTAGGGATTACTGAAAAGGATTAGAGAAGTGAAGTAGAAAAGATATAGGGGGCAGCAGATCAATGTTGGTTTCCTCAATGTCCCTTTAGAAGACCAAAACGAAAATCCCCCAATTCTGCTGATGTAGTAGGATACAGCAGGGCTGAAGCCTGTTCTTTCCAGAACCTACAGATGTATCCTCCTACAGAATTTTGTGATCCCCTTTTTCCCTTCTTTAAATATTTTCTTAACATGTCCCCATCAACTTATCATTATACTCTTTAATTCCATCAGACAAATGATGGTTTTCCTATATCACTATAATTCTATAAAATTTGAAGATAATTTTAAAGACATCAAGAGCAGTCGATTAATATCACACCGTATATTTAAGGACTTTTTCGGATATTATGTACAGAAATCTTCATAAATCAAATATCAAATTTCAAAATATAAGTCAACATTCATATGAGAATTGGACATAATTTTTGGTAATTGGAAATTGCAGAATTGTTCATTCACAAGCAATCAGGACAAACATACCTTGGTTTACCAACAGGTTTGTGGGACTGGAGGGAGGATCGTGAATAGCGACTAGATTTACTCTGAGTTACCTCAGATGTACTTGGCTGTGGAGCATCCTCACTGTAATCAAGATCAAATCAAACCTGTCACCATCAGTAATATGTTAAGTACAGTTTAGCCTCTTTAACCAAGCTCAAGTGCTACCTTCACAAAATATGATTGAAGTGAATAAGCTGAAAATGACATGTCTCCTTAAAGGCTGGCTAGATAAGAGGCAATCAGATTTGTGTGGGCTAAATTAATGAAATTTGAATGCCATCAATACTAAATAAATGCACTTCAATAGATTCAAATGGGAATAAGGATGGTAAAACCACAAACCAAGGAATGATAATAGGAAAATGCATACAAAAGACAGGTTTTAAGATTCACAGCACTTATTTCATGCACTTTTTGTTGTTGCATACCTTCTGAACACAAACACAGAAAACACAATGCCAAAAATTTCATGCAGTGAGTTGACTTACTCTTGAAATGAATACAGATCATCTCTGTGTCCCAGGATAGACAACGGTGCAATTCCTGAGTCATGCTTTTTGTTCTCTGTTGTCTTTTCCCCGGATGCTTTCTGCAGTGGGATAGTTCTGCCTACCGGTGGGTTGGAGAGACCCAGATTTCTGGCTATCCTCGCCTTCACCGTGCTTGTTGGGATCTCCATCTTGATGGTTTTGGCCTACAAGAGAAAGGTTACTCTAACTCAGGACAATGTATTCACACCTGCATATATATTACTAAAATCACGTTTCTTTCATTTCTTTCTGTCTCCATTGTTTATCGACTGTTGTAATCTTGATTTAACTTTCAGAACGTAAAATTACATTTCTATCATTTCTTTCTGTCTCTGTTGTTTATTAACTGTTGTAACCTTGATTTAGCTTTCAGAATTTAAAGTAACAAGAGGCCCAGAGGGCCTGTATCGCTCACCTGGATAATAAAACAACCATGGGAAATTATTCTTATTACAAAAAATCCCTCCAATGGTACAGAAGAAGATTTTAAAGATTTAAACCTCAAATTTCCTTATTGGGCCCTGCAACTCTCCGCACCCAGAGGTGCCTCACCCTTTATTATCACCCGGATTATTTTTGAGACGAAGGCAGGCGTATTCGCAATTTTTTTATTATTACTTTCACGATAAAATCGACAATGTGGTGCCCTAAAAAGAACCAAGTAATCAATTTTGTTTGGCCGTAGTCATTATGGATGTGTCAAATTGATGTAATGACAGGAACTAGTACAATGTGTCAAGATTATAGATCAAAGTAAAATTAACATGAAGATCTATCGAATATGTGTTATTGAACCCCATCTTATGGGGACTGAACACTTAAAACAGTTTTAATATATAATTTTAAGAGCATTTCTATTTCATTCTGTGTAGACATTATGGTATTGTTAAACATCCAAAGATGCATAAGTATGACAAATTTGCAGAATGCAGGAGCTCTGGAATTAGTCGAGTACAAGACCCTCTTTCAGTGCGCAACATTTCACAATCGCAAGTGTAGGTGACAGAGTATAAGATAGGCCCCAAGCAAAGTGATGCATAGATTAGATGATTTGATTCAAATGATTTAACAATAAGTTATGTCAAAACAGTGATGTAAGAGAAACGCAACATTTGGGGAACTCGCAATGCCCTTTTCAAGTAGGTGAAACCAGAAAGTAAGAATTTCTGACAAATTAGTTCCAAGTTAACTTACACAAGCGAATCATATTGAATACTAGATTAAAGAGTAGCATGGAGCTACCAGAATTTATAGACAATATGATTTACAGGGAGATCCCAATTGACCTCTTAAATTATAGATCATCATCAGAGCTGTAGTGATACATTTGCAAAGTTTGAAATACATATCTGGTCGTGACCCGACTTTTATGGAAAAGAACTTGGGTTTGTCAGAAACAAAATAGAAACAGAGTTAACCAAATAAATGAAACTGCTGGACAGAGTTTGCACTGATGGCCAAAAATGCCCTCATTTACAAAATTAAGTAAGATCAGCACACTCTCTAAAGAGGTACACTGTTAATAGATTTTTGAACGTAAACAAAAAGTATTTTTTTCTATCACTAACATGATATGGAGATGAACTTATTTTTGGTCTATAGCTTTTATAGCAAAAACATACTGTGCGAGCCGTCTTCTTCGTTTTCCTCTTTTTTCTGCCTTTCTTTCCCTTCTTTGTTGTCCTCCTCCTCTTACGTTTAGTGCCAGTTTTTTTGGTGGTCCTTTTCTTTTTGGTAGTTCTCTTCCTTTTTTTCTTTGCTGGTGCCTTCTTGCGTTTTGTTGGTGTCTTGTGCTTCATGACTGTGGCTGGATTACTTGGTCCTGCACCAGAGGCTGCATTTGTCTCCATTTCATCAGCCGCCTATGTAAATATTAAGTGATGAGCAGTGATTTCCTCAGTTAACTATATACATATTAAAAGGCTATTCCAGAATTAATAATACAGAATGACCACTCATAAGTTAACATGTAACCCACACCCCATAAACAGGATTATTATTGCTTTTCCTTGGGCCCTTTTTTCAAAGGTAACAATTACTTTAGACCCCATCACACATATAAATGATCAATTATTAGCATGTCCCAAGTGATAAACAGTGATATTCTCTGGTGCCTTTGTAATTTGTTTAGTGATAAACAGTGATTTTTGTATGTAATCATTAAGAGATATTCAGATGAACAATTTGCTGGTGCCTATGTTTTTAAACATTTAGTAACTTAATGACTTTATCTGAAGTCCATATTTAAACATACAATGATTAACAATCATTTGCATTGGTGCATATGTAAACATCAAATGTCCCTTATGAGGAGATATTTACAGATAACAGACCTTTTATAAGATTGCTATATAAGAAATCAACCTGTTTCCTTCTATTTTAAAACCCTTTTTTCACATGTTTCTTTTCAACAACCAACAGATTCTAACTGGACTTATGCTAACATGTTGTAGCTGTACCATGATTAGGTCTTCCTCATCTGTGGAATCAGCAATGTATTCACGACGAGTGTATCTACGAGCTCGTTCCCGTCGAAGCTCTGCAATCTGACTGCGCACACGCTCCATGACACGGGTTCTGGCTACCAGTCGCCGTCGGGGGCGGAGGAAGGGGGTGGCTGAACTATCGGCATTTTCATGAATGATTTCACTGACCTCTTCATAATCATCAACTGTGACCGCTGTCTCTGCAATAGAAGACTGGATTTTCAACAAATCTATTTCATTCTCCTGTTAAAGGAAACGGCTAGGGCCGAGTTTCCAACGATATGTTTGTATTAAGACTGACTTAAACAAATCTATTTCATTCTCCTGTTAAAGGTAATGGCTAGGGCTGAGTTTCCAACGATATGTTTGTATTAAGACTGACATCTCTTAACTATTTATGCATTGATAGAGTCAAACTAGTCAAAGTGATTACAGTATTCAGAAACTTTTGTCTTATTATGGCATCAATGGGTCATTTCTTCTACATTAACTGCATTCAAAAGTCATAGTAAACACTGTTGGACTTCCACATATAGTACACAGCATTTAGCTGTAACTTAATTTTATCTGCTATTTACCTGAACCTTGTTTGTTGAGGTCAGCACACTCGGGACAGAACCATTCCTCGACAGGAATTTCTTGTAGGGCAGGGGTCAGGCATTCACAGTGAAAACTATCAACAAACACAAAACATCCTAAATCATCTATACATGTACAATCAAACTGTCAGAATAAATGTCTGCCACACCTTTTAAGCTTCAAAATTAGCACCCAAAATAACCATATGGAAAAGTTGATAAATAAACAAGATTGATAGCCACAACAATACTGCAGCCTCGTTAAATTATTTCCAACATCTGAAACATCATAATATATGAATATTCAATAAAAGAAATACAGTTGAGATGCACATCTAATTCAACCCATATGTCAGGTCACTGTTAGGGTGCAAAGTTTGACTAGTCTCCTTCTATATGTTTTTATTGCAATGTTTCAATCTTTTCCCCTATAGTAACAACTGGGGGGGGGGGGGGGGGGGGGTTGGAGACCCAACGTAGGGACAGTAAACATAAAATTAAATGTATCAAAAGTGCTCAAACAAGCAAAACTCTAAGATTATTGTTCTGTCTCTTAAGGAATGGAAATTGTAATAGAAAGAATGTAAAGGGTGATGAAATTGTCAGAACTCTTGTAAATAGAGTTTAAGTCAATAAGCAGCGTGAGCAGTCCTAAAATGTTAGATAAGGATAAGGTGAAAAGATTCTCGCATTTATGTTTACTATCTCTGATTTCTGTTCCTTTAATCATCTCTTGCATTGTAAATACTGTAATACTAGAACTCATACTCAATTTACTATGACAATTATATATAATCTTTTAGTGCATCATACTGAAATTATTTAGCATTTATAATTATGCACCAATCAAAAATGGCTAAACCTTTTCACCCTTTCAGGCTGTAACTCTTAGCAACTTGATGACGTCACAGTTATTCTTTATTGTTTTAGTCACATGACCTTTATTGTCATTGTACCATAGTTGCAAACATCATGTAACTGTGCCTCCTTTTGGCCGAAACATGTCAGCACGTAGGATGTAAATCAAACATTACATTTTGTACCGGATTGAGTGGTGTTGTAGCTCATCATTTCTATTTTCATTTTCCCCTATAATATGACAATGAAAAACTAATACTTATTTTTCTACTTCATTTGATAGGGGTATCATTTTAGCAATTCAAATCAAACTATAACTGTACAGCACTAAAACTTCTGCTGTTAATGAACATTCACAAAACTTCTGCTGTTAATGAACATTCACATATTTCTCGGTTACCATAGAACCTTCAATATCAACTCGGCAAATGATTGCGTAAAGATCTTCATATGTTTGGAGTAACCAACTAACTAGACATGATTTTTTTTTTGTACCAGTATTAATAGTTTGAAAACCATATGGTACTTCAGTAAACTTGTATCAAGTCGGAATGAAGACCAATGGTTGTTCTAACGTCTTTCCACAGGGGCATGTGCCTGTTAATTTAAAAAAAATATCACCCCCATTGATTTAGGGGAAAAGAAAGCATTTTTTTCTCATTTATTTTGAGAAAAATAGCAAAATTTATCCAGGTGATGGGGCCTTTATAAGGTCCCTATTCAACCTTGTAATATCACTGGAAGACATAAACAGGCTTTTATAAATGATTAACCTATCCACATACCTTGATGCAATTTATTATTAATATAGTAACAGAAACACTACCAACAGGAAACTAAATCTTAAATTCATTTATTCAAATAGGTTATGTGACCTAGAATATGAATAGTATCTTATACTGTACTTAAAGTAAGATGATGCACCTTAAACAATGAAGGAAAATAAACACACAGCTTTATTCCGTCTTTGCGTATTGCAGAGTTATCTTCTCTTGGGAGGAGGGATTGATTGTTACGTCATTGGTTTGTGTGAGAAAATTACGTTGTTTTCTCAAAAATTGATGACGTTACTCTCACACACTAATGACGTAACAATCAATACCTGCTCACAAGAGAAGATAACTCTGCAATATGCAAAGACGGAATAGATGACACACAGTATCCTTCTCTTACCCTTGATCACATCCATCACACAGGAGAAGTCTGTCCTCCCGGTCACACCGCCCACACACCTCACAGTAGGTGGGGTCTTCTTCCTCCTCCTCAGGAATGTCACACATGTTCTTGTCCTCCACCACAATCTTAACACAAATACATACAACTCAGCAAAGAAATGGAATTGCACACAATACCACTGAAATTCATAATTAAAAGCATCGGGTCCAGACAAATAAATATTGGCTATGCATAATTGATGTTGAACTCTTGCATATTTTCTGTACAATCTTTACATTTAGGAATGGCCTTTAAAATTTCTTTCTAAGTACTTAGTACTTTTGAATGGGCCTAATATTCCAAGCAATAGTTTATATATGAAGAAGAACTTTGCATTCGAATTTTGTTCTTGTTTTTATTTTCATTTTTATACTGGTATAACTTGGTGAAGGACATTCTTACCCGTCGGAAAACCTTGTCTTCTCCAGCATGCTTTGCAAAGATCAGGTTGAAAACTTGACGATCAACAGGACATGTGTTCACATTCTGGAACAAAGATTACAAGGCGGAAATTATAAGGTATATTTTTTTTCTATAGTGAAATGAGTTTGTTTTTGCATAATTGATTAAAATTTCATTTTCACTATCAGTAAAAACATTGTATATTCTAAAACTTATTTATAAGCTGTAGTATTTTATTGTTCAATGTCTTGTTTAAACCAATATCGTTCTGTTTTAGTATATAGTTAGTAGTGAATGTTCTTATTCAACAATATCAGTTATTCCTTGGTTTTACAGTATTCTTGTTCTAATCCTATTGGCTTTATAGACAGATAATATAATCAGATCAGAAAGATGGATGCAGATTAGAGAGCTGGATGTTCACACCTTTAACATGTACAGACACAAATCATACCGCCATGTTCTGGTGTAAGACTTGCTGCTAGTGCTATTTACTGATGTAACATTTAATGTCATTTACTAGTGTAAAGATTTACTGTCCTTCACTGGAATAAGACTTTGTCATTTACTGGTGTAAGACTGTCTTACATTAATGTATTAATAAGAATAAAATCTATTGATTCTTATGAAGATATTGTGTCATCAGATGTCTTACTAAAGAAAACACCTACATTTGACCACTCCTGGATACACTCAAGACAGAAGTTGTGGTCACATGACTCCGGTGTTCCGATGTCCTGGTCTCGAAGCCGATTTAGACAAACTGGACAGTTATCTCCCTCCCCGTCTGAGTCACTCTCCAATAATGTGGAGGCTTCCTGGCTTTCTTCTTCTCCCTCCTCATCCTCCTCTTCTTCTTCATCCGTTTCCCATTCTGAAAAATTTGGTAAGAATAATTATTTGTGTCTTTCAATGTCAAGCTCCTTTATTTAATGTTTGACGACAATGTTTATAGACTATTACAGGCACTCAAACAACTCTCTGCAACTGATGCATGTAGCTTGCATTGGTCATCTTAGTCAAACTTTGCAAATATTAGGAACTTGAAAAGTATGAACAATTCTTTATTCAAGGTCTGTCAATTTGAAGTTGACTCTTTTGTTCGGACATTTGTTTAGATTTGTTTTTTTACTATTATGTCATATTTCATATTGACTTATGATAGCATATATGTAAAACATAAACCAACTACCAGTTACCAAAAAAATACATGTTTGTCTATTAAACTAACTTATTTAAGTTTATTAGAAAAATCTGTTGAAAATACTCTGTGATTATCATCAAAATCTTACCTTCTCCAACTTCCTCTTCATCCTCATCTTCATCATCATCATTATCATCATCATCATCATCTTCACTTCCATCCTCCTCTTCATCACTTTCGTCATCCTCATCACTTTCATCATCGTCATCATCACCACTTTCTATAATTGCTGCTGTTTTCCTCTTCCTTGAGATCAAGTCCTCTGTCTGTTCCATGCCTGACTCGGCAGTCAGTTCTTCTGCCATGTCATTAGCTTGCTGGTTGTCCATGGTGCTGGTTTGTGGTGGCTTTTCTTGTGCAGGATCGGAGTAGGAATCCTCCTCATCCATGTCAATCACAGGGCTGGAAAACAACAATAAAAATTTACATATTAAATAACCTTCTTATTGTTCACAGGAATATAATGCCAAATAAAATACCCTGTAAGTTATTTTTGGAACTTAACGACTGATCATTTTCTAAAAACAAGTGTTAAACAATATTTGTTCTTTAATGTTAACAAGCTTCAGTAGATTGGTTCTTGAATTCCTTGTGAATACAGAAGCAGATGTGTTGCCTATGCTTGTTAAGAAAGTGATAGCACTGCTACATTTGTTTATATTATAGACTTGTACATTTTGTCCAGTGTCCCTTTCCAAAATTTCAAAAATATATAACAAGTTTCCTCTATCAGATCATCTTCTTAGGGGAAGCAAGAATACCTTTTTTATATTAAGCTTATTTACAGATAAATACACAATTTTTATTTTCATCAAGATTACTAGTCTCCCTGAAATTACAGATACCATCAGGAAACCATTTTGTTAATCAGATCACACCCTCCTTATTAATATGTGTTACAGGTTGTGTGTATTCTTAATTAGTATCAAACCTTTATCTTCATTTTCCAAGCAATCTGTAAACCCTCATCTATTTATTATTGTTGATTTAAATCAAACAAACTTCTACAAATCACAGTCTATTAAATGTGTAGTCCAAGTTAATAAAAAACAAGAAACTGCCGGATTGCTACAGTACATTTTCATGTAAAACATCCCATGTGATAAGCATCCCTTAAGATACAAAAGCCTTGCAAGTTTAGTTAATGTAGGACAAGTAGGTACTTGGTTAGTGACCTTAACCAATCTTCTTAACCATATATTGTGCAGATGGGGCCTGATCATGACCTCAACCAAACTTCTTAACCTGGTCGGTCAAGCAAAAATGTAGGTCAGAAGCAGCATCACAAGCATCGAATGTGATCAGCATCCTTAGATACATAAGCCATGCAAGTTTAGTTGATGTACAACAAGTAGTTACTTAGTAACTGACCTTAACCAATCTTCTTAACCTGATCACTATAGTGGATAATATAAGTCAGAAGCAGCATCCAAAGCAGTGCATGTGATTATATAATTGGCATCCTTAGAAACAGAAGCCATGCAAGTTTAGTTGATGTAGGAAAAGTAGTTACTTGGTAAGTGACCTAAACCAATCTTCTTAACCATAGTGCAGATTGAGCCTGGCCTCAGTCAATCTTCTTAACCTGGTAAGTCAAGCGGAAAATGTAGATCAGAAGCAGCATCTGAAGCATTGCCTGTGATTAGCAGGTTTTGATACATAAGCCATGCAAGTTTAGTTGATGTGGGATAATTAATAACTTGAAAACTGAGCTCAACCATTCGTCTTAACCTTAGTGCAGACAAACAGACGAATGGATGGAGGGGAATCCCCAGTCTATAAGCCCTGATTGCTTTGCAATCTGGCCAATAACAAAGATTTAGGGACAGGACAACCACAGTATCATTCATATTCAGACAATGAGGAAATTCTAAGAACATCTATGTTGTTAACGTTACTAGAGATGATGCTGAAGTGCAGCAACAAATCATAGCTAAGGTTATACACCCTCGTTGACGAAGAAAAATCTGGAGGCATTAAAAACGTAATGAAAAATATACATATAAAACATGTAAGTGTATGTCAACTCTATGTTGAGAGAGCATACAGCAATATTCAAATACCTGTAAAACAAAACAAAAAGGCTTACCAACACAAGAACATATGACTTTGAAATAAAGCTTTAAAAATTTACAAAAAAGTCTGCTTCAAATAATATAAAACAGTTCATTCCTCAGAAGAGGAGAACAATTGGTGGAGTTTAAGGTACATTTAACAAGAGTTGTGTCCCTTTGACTATATTAGAATTTTAATGCATTTTTTTTCCAGTTTATTTTGGACACCACTTTTGGTATCATGAGATTAGTTACAAAAGTATTAGCCACTCATATAAAAATATACTACATAATATCTTACAGTTTGAACATGCCAAACAAATTTAGATGAGATGAAGGCTTTGTAAACTTCTATCCACTATCCAGACAGTGTAACCAAAACCTTTGTGCGATAATACTGTCAATAATCAACAAGGAATCCTCAAAACTTGTTACGGTCAAACAGGACATTAAATTAATCTTGGACATTTTTTAACATGATGTATATGCTGGGATAAAATTATTTCCTTTTCCTGTGTCTGACGAATGTGCTAAATAATGCACTTGCCAACTAAACTTAATGTTAAGAGTCATCTCTAGTTCTGGAAGTTATTGGATCCGACAAACATCTTATCCCTGAAAATTGAATTTTAGTTAAATATAAACAGAGTGCAGTGGATGTACAAATTGTAGCATTCAGTTACAGTAGGTTCTGTTGTTTGGGGTTTAATGTCCTCGCAACAGCCAAGGACATATGAAGATATATTTAGCTGGTTTCAAGCCAGCTAAGCTGGCAAATGGTGTTGCTACCTTGGTAAGATATTGCACCCTTATTGATCACTCTGGCAAGCTGGAATGGAGTAATATGATCATGTTTGGATATGTATTACTGGCACTGCATCGGTAGTACAGTGAATTTAAGTAGTGTTGCACTGAGAAAGATGCTATCAGAAGAACACTCTCCCAGCATACATATGGAGGATATTTGACAATTGTTTTTTTTTTAATATAACATCTGTAGGATGCAGGCTACGTATGAAAAGAGAACACAATTGTAAAGTATGTACCGATCGCGACTATCACTTTAATTTAGAATATCCTAAATTCATAGCATTTCCTTAAACATTTCTTTTTATTTATGATGATCTCAGTTGAAAATTAATCCTTTACCATTATTAAATCTCAAGTTCAATTACGACCAATCTGGGCCTCTGTCTTCATAAATGACATGTTTCAACATTGTCTGGAAGCTAAGTGAAATATTATTTTCTTTTTGTCACTGGAGCTTGGTGTATATTAATAACGCTGCATCCAGCGGATGCAAGTGAACTCATACTTCACCAAGCACACGTTATTTAATGAAAAAATGTCCTGAGGTTTTCGATCGTGCAAATCCCATCACTCGTCTGGGGGCGCTCGTCTGGTAGTCGAGACAATTTTCAATTCATGCCGAATCGCGAAATCTTGATCCGATGCCGCTGTCTACGATCGGTGTTCCTGAAAATTCCTGTCATCTAGGATGCTTTGATGTTCGTCCGTTTATTGCAAATGCATCGATTGACTTCGATGACCGACTTAACACATCGTTCATAGTGATTAATCGGGTAATCGAATTTATTTTTATGAAAATACCCACCTCAACACATTTCGCCATGACACAAGATGTCCACCATATTGGTAGTTCTAAGTGCCCGTATGAGGACGGAAAGGAAGTGACGTTTTTAGCGCGATGTACAAATAAACTGCTGTGTTTGGGGACACTTTGATTATATATATCATCCAAATGACCCACAGGTGTATTTTTTTCAAAATATGTCCGACATATAAGGTAAGTAATATTCTCACCCGATCTGTACTTTTAATGATAAAAATCACAATCGCCGGTGTACTATCACGTGAAATTTAGTCTACTTCCGGTTGGAGTTAGTACCTCACAGCGAACACACGCAGGGAACAGCGCTCGGTAAGAAGACGCTATGGATACATTATTCGAGTAAGCTAAACAAATTTATTGACTTTATGAGATAACATGTTGGAAACATTTCTCTGGATATGTTTCTTTGTCCAAATATCGGACAAAATTTCACATTCGAGGAGCAGTTAGAAGTAAAGGCCAGAGGGGAGTGTCTACTTTCATTTTGATCATTTTATATTTTGTAGATACGGTGCAAGTATGATTGTAATATAACACATTTATGTGGCCTGTGAATATTTTGAAATACGGATTTAATTAATGATTTAATAATTTGTTTTACTTTCATTTTTAAAATCAAAGTTTGGAAATGTGGAGTCGATATATTTACATGTACTGATATAGGCTTATGGGGCAAAGCAGTGTGGAGAAGTTTAGGTCTATATATAGCGACACCTCATTTTCTAAGAACATGATGCCTTACTAGACATGTTATTACAGGTAGTTGTCCTGTTCGGAACTAGAAATATAGGCTGAATTGCAGGGACATCAGATTTTCAGAGTCTGAAATTCTGCTAATAATAATCATATAAAAACCTACAACATATGATTTATATTATCAAAAAAAAAACCTTTAATTTTTAAGTTATTATAGGTTATATTAACATTAAAAACATGTGTGTTTTTTTATTATTATTGACTGAATTTCAGACTTGGAACTCCTATGCTTGACATATATAGCTACTCAACTATGTCAGGATTTCTAATAAGTACGCTTTACAGGTTTACATAAACAATCGTGGATGATGTTGGGTGTAATTTATGATATATATATATATATATACACATAAACTTAACCTAAACTTGTCCACACTGTTGGAATTACTTCTTTGCCCCATATATACACATATACATGTACATAAACATGAAGAGCCCTGTGAAGGGTGAAAGCAGCTAGTTTTTTAGTCGGTTGATAATCTATTTTTTTCTTCCTTCTTACTTCCTTCACATGGACATCTAATCCTTTTTTTATCACATATAGGCATACATATATTTACTACAGATTTCAAAGAAAACACATACTCATTTCGAAGAAATCATAGCTCAAGTCAAGTTTTCTATCTAGATCTGGAGTTCTTGCACAGCAGCAATCTGACAGCCTTTGTATGACTTACTGGTTGTAATTTGATGTAACTATTAACTAATGATTTTATGGTGAATGAGGGTCTAGGAAAATCACTGCAGCATAGATGTTAAACTTGTACAAATAATAATAATTAGTGATACTTTTTTTTTTTTTTTCAAATCAAAATATTGAAATGAGGTGTCTCTGTATATAGCCCTAGATTCCTGGCTTTTCTAAGAACACTTAAAAATACTAGACATGAGATTAGACATGTTATCACAGGTAGTGGTCCTGTTCAGAATTGAAGTGATTGTAGTAGATGTACCAGGTGTGTGAATCATAGGAAACTCATAGGAGATCAGCAAACTTGGCGATAAATTGTAAAGTTACAGGGAAAGAGTAGAGCTTGTTTGTCTTCCACTAAGTTAGATATTCTCTGTAACTATGTTACCAGTTTGCCTATGGAAACACACAAGATCCCTCGACATAATTAGATGTTAGTATGGGCAATTCATACCACAGAAAGGATATCACATATGTGTGACTCATTCTTGTACTTTGTTCATCTTATTGTTTAATTTACGCTCCAGAGAAATAAGATTGCTTATAAAGTAAACAGTCATTTGAAAATGTTCATGATACACAGAACTTGCTCTGCCTCGTACACATATGCATGCATACACTGCACACATGGAGGCCCACCCTTAAAAGACCTTAGCTGTTGATAGGACGTAAAACCCTGTACAACCAACCAACACAGAACTTTGGTCCCTTAAGGGACTTTTTTAATAGCAAAAATATTTGTGTAGGTCATATATGCCCTGTACAGTATACCTAAAAGGTCTTCACCAACTTTAAATCTACATTTGTGTATCTACATATCATGTTAAACTGGTAGTAGCCAGACTGTTCAGTATCATTGCTGGTTGGTTTATAATATTTAGTTTTTGTAAGGTTTTATTGTACAGCGAGTAACATTTATCAAAGTGGAATAGGTTAGATTGTATCATTGATGCATGCATCTCAAAATGGACGTTGTATAAATTGTCATGTTCTGAGCAACTATCTCAATAGTGGACATTAGCAAAATTATTAGCATTTACCAACTTGGCTTTAGAAAGTTAGATCTTACAAATGCCAACTCATTGCTATCATTTATTGCATGCTTTCATTGATAGCACGATATATTACCAACATAAAAAAAGTATTTCTGGTGGGATGCATTTATTTTTATACTCATGACAAGTCATCACAAGTACATATAGGAATCAGCCAGTATGTCTTTATGTAACCTTGTCAATATCATTGCTTTACAAATTTCATTTCGTAACTGATTGTCTTGAAATTTCATAGGTCAGTATGTATTTACACACACCACCTTTTGTACAAGTATTAATACTTTGTTTTACCATGGACTTAGATAGCTATTAATCTAATTATGTTGTTTTACTTTATTTTCTCGAATCAACATTTGGAAATGAGGTGTCACTATATATAGCCCTAGATTCCTGGCTTTTCTAAGAACACTTAAAAATACTAGACATGAGATTAGACATGTTATCACAGGTAGTGGTCCTGTTCAGAATTGAAGTGATTGTAGTAGATGTACCAGGTGTATGAATCATAGGAAACTCATAGGAGATCAGCAAACTTGGCGATAAATTGTAAAGTTACAGGGAAAGAGTAGAGCTTGTTTGTCTTCCACTAAGTTAGATATTCTCTGTAACTATGTTACCAGTTTGCCTATGGAAACACACAAGATCCCTCGACAGAATTAGATGTTAGTATGGGCAATTCATACCACAGAAAGGATATCACATATGTGTGACTCATTCTTGTACTTTGTTCATCTTATTGTTTAATTTACGCTCCAGAGAAATAAGATTGCTTATAAAGTAAACAGTCATTTGAAAATGTTCATGATACACAGAACTTGCTCTGCCTCGTACACATATGCATGCATACACTGCACACATGGAGGCCCACCCTTAAAAGACCTTAGCTGTTGATAGGACGTAAAACCCTGTACAACCAACCAACACAGAACTTTGGTCCCTTAAGGGACTTTTTTAATAGCAAAAATATTTGTGTAGGTCATATATGCCCTGTACAGTATACCTAAAAGGTCTTCACCAACTTTAAATCTACATTTGTGTATCTACATATCATGTTAAACTGGTAGTAGCCAGACTGTTCAGTATCATTGCTGGTTGGTTTATAATATTTAGTTTTTGTAAGGTTTTATTGTACAGCGAGTAACATTTATCAAAGTGGAATAGGTTAGATTGTATCATTGATGCATGCATCTCAAAATGGAGGTTGTATAAATTGTCATGTTCTGAGCAACTATCTCAATAGTGGACATTAGCAAAATTATTAGCATTTACCAACTTGGCTTTAGAAAGTTAGATCTTACAAATGCCAACTCATTGCTATCATTTATTGCATGCTTTCATTGATAGCACGATATATTACCAACATAAAAAAAAGTATTTCTGGTGGGATGCATTTATTTTTATACTCATGACAAGTCATCACAAGTACATAGGAATCAGCCAGTATGTATTTACAAACACCACCTTTTGTACAAGTAATAATACTTTGTTTTACCAAGGACTTAGATAGCTATTAATCTAATTATGTTGTTTTGCTTTTTTTTCTCAAATCAACATTTGGAAATGAGGTGTCACTATATATAGCCCTAGATTCCTGGCTTTTCTAAGAACACTTAACATTACTAGACATGGGTTGGGCTAGACATGCAAATTACAGGCAGTGGTCATTTTCAGAATTGAGGTCATTGTAGTAGACGTGCATTATCTGTGAAATCTGTTAAGTCCGGTCGGAGTTAGTACCTCACAGCGAACACAGGCAGGGAACAGCGCTCGGTAAGAAGACGCTATGGATTCATTATTCGAGTAAGCTAAACAAATTTATTGACTTTATGAGATAACATGTTGGAAACATTTCTCTGGATATGTTTCTTTGTCCAAATATCGTACAAAATTTCGCATTCGAGGAGCAGTTAGAAGTAAAGGCCAGAGGGGAGTGTCTACTTTCACTTTGATCATTTTATATTTTGTAGATACGGTGCAAGTATGATGGTAATATAACACATTTATGTGGCCTGTGAATATTTTGAAATACGGATTTGGTTAATGATTTAATCATTTGTTTTACTTTCATTTTTAGCTCACCTGGCCCGAAGGGCCAAGTGAGCTCATCCCATGGTGCAGCGTCCGTCGTCTGGCGTCCGTCAACTTTTTCCTTTAAAATGCTACTTGTCCTGAATGGCTCAGAGGATTTTGACCAAATTTGGTCAGGAGCATCATTGGCCAAAGGGTTCTCAGTTTTGTATAAACGGAGGGTATAACCCCCCTGGGGGCAGAGGGGCGGGGCCAAATAGGGGGAAAATAGGTAAATCTTTAAAAATCTTCTTCT